TTTTTTTTTTAAGTTTTATTTTTTATTTGAGAGAGCGAGAGAGAGATGTGGGAGGGGCAGAGAGGGACAGGGAGAAAATCCCAAGCAGACTGTGCACCATCAGCACAGACCCCAATGTGAGGCTCGAACTCATGAACTGTGAGATCATGACCTGAGCTGAAACCAAGAGTTGGACGCTTAACCATCTGAGCCACCCAGGTGCTCCATCTGCCTTTGCTTTCTGATCACTTTTCTCTTTCCACCTTTTGAAAAAAATGCTTATTTATTTAATTTATTGAGAGAGAGAGAGAGAGAGAGAGAGAGCGCGCGCGCTTGTGAGCTGGGGAGGGGCAGAGATAGAGGCAGAGAGAGAGAATTCCAAGCACGCTCCACACTGTCAGTAGGGACCTCACGATCCTGAGATCATGACCTGAGTTGAAATCAAAGGTCGGGGGTTTAACCAACTGAGCCACCCAGGTGCCCCTTGAGCTGGGTTCTTCTCGAGGGTTCTGGCCTCCAGTGTCTGTATTTCCAGGATTCAGGTGCGACTCCCTCTCACTCTTCTGGGGCACTCCTTCACCTACTCAGCTTTAATCACCACCTATAATCTGAAAATTCCCCGAATATTTCCCACTTCTCCCCCAGGCCCCAGACCTGCATGGTGAATTCTAGCATACTAATTGTTTTCCTATTTGTGGATCATCTTCTCTCCCATGAGAATGTAAGTTCCCTGAGAATAGGGATCCTGGCCTGTTTTGTGCATAACCATTGGCTCAGCACCTACAATCTGTCTGGATGTCCCAAAGCTCTTAAATTCAACATGTTCCTCTGACCATAACCCCAGACTTGCTTGTGTTTTTGTATTCCTTTAGTGAAATGAAACTGTCTGCTACTAGTTCCTGTGACCAGAAACTTGAGTGTTCTCTTCAACACCTCCCTCACTGGCAAATCCATCACTAAAGTCTGCTCTGCCTAAGGCTCTCTGGGGCCCACTCACCCACTTCCCTCCCTGCCACGCTCTAGTGTGGGTCCTCTCTCCAGTTCCTGCCTGGAACATTACAAAGTGCTTCTCTTTAGCCTGTTCCCATCTTGTTCTTCTCACTGACATAGGGTGATTCCCCCCCTCCCTGCAGTATACATATTGGTTTGCTTTTCCACAAAATTGGGACCATAGTACCTAATGAATTTTATGTCCATTTTTTCCCCATAATGTAAATTTTGCATTATTCTATATGCTCCGAAAACTTTTCATAACTGCAACTGTCTACTGCAGCTGGGGGTAAGCCACAATTTATTCTATCATTTCCTTAGGTTGTTTCCAGGCTTTTTTGCTCTTATAAACAATGCTGTGATGTATCTATATGGTCCTTTCAAAATGCAAATCTGGTCATGTCACTCTCTTGCTTAGAATCTGTCAGTGCCTCCTTGTCAAGGAAGGTCAGTGTACTCTGACTCCTCGATAAGGCCCATAAGGCCTTTCATTTGGGACCTGCCTACCTTCCTCATGTCCTCTCCCACCCACAACCCAAACTCTAGCTTTTCCTTTACTTGCAGTCCAAATGTGAGCCACCTTGATTTTTTTGCTTTTGCTTCTTTCTGTGTAACATCTCTCCCTTGTATTCCCACAACAGTCTGCTGCCCATGTTCAGATTCTCATCATTCCTTATCTATAATGATGCCCAAAGATGATATCCAATAAAACCAGAGTGGTCTTTGGGACACAGGTAGCCAGTCCACTGACAGGTTAAGATTTTCAAGATGGTCCAGTCCAGCCTCCAGGTGCCTACTCAGAACTTTCAAATCTTGAAGTGATTCCTGCACCTGTGGTGAGATGTGAAGGTGGAAGCAGGACAGTGGAGTCAAGGTTAGGCTGGCCTGCTCTTTCTTTGGTGAACTACGATGTTTAGAGGGGCCAGGAGTCCTGACAGGATCCACTTGTAGAATAGAGTGCCCAGCCATCCTTCATTCTCCCATTCCTAGGAGTACCTAGTGGCAGTCTAAATGGTATGGCCAACTATTATGCCTGTGGGCCAAGGGCAGTCCACCATGTTTTGTACCTCCCATGAACTAAGTGGTTTTTATGTTTTTAAGTTGATTGAAAAAAAAAAAAAAAAAAAGGAAAATAATTGGATATTGTGACATGTGAAAATATATGAAATTTAAATTTCCTTAAAAAAATCTGTGTCCATAAATAAAGCTTTATTGGAACACGGTCATTCTCTTTTATTTATGTATTGTCTTTGGCTGCTATTGTGCCATGATGTAAGAGCTGAGTAGTTATGACAGATTGTTTGGCCTGTGAGCATAAAACATTTACTCTCTGGCCTTTTAGCGCTTTGCCGAGCCCATATCTAGACAGTACTGCAATGTGGTCGGGGAGGTAGGAGACAGATCAGAAGAATACTCTGAAAGATGAAATGAGAAGGTTTCAAGAAGGAAGCTTGTTCATAGGGCAGCAAGGACCAAATATATGAAGACTCAACATGAAGGAGTCCCTCCACCCACTCTTTGAAAATGACTATGTAAGAGACAGAATCTGATTTTAAAAACTTCACATTTTATTTTCCAGAATATGGTCATTTGTCAAGTTGAAGGCATGGAGCTTAGGGGCTGTTCTGATAGACTCTGAACAAAGAGCCTCCCCTCCGCCCCCCAAGCACTTTTAATGACTGGCTTATCATTCTCTATACAAGACATTTCATCATCAGAGCTGAAGATGCTAACAACAGTGGTAACTTTACAAATTCTGAGAAAAGGCCTATAGAGGCAAAAATGTAAGCGTTTTTTTTTTTTTTTTTTTTACTAAATTGGTGTAGTATACCCTTAAAATGACATATTCACAAACAGAAGTTAGAGAAAGAGAAATAAAAATGCACTTATGAATTTTCTTCTTGCCACCTGAGTTAAATTCAGGTCTCCTTTCCTACAGAATGCAGAAAAGACAAGGCAGCTCCACTGGTGTTGTTACAGATCACTAGATGTTAGAAACTGTTTCCTCTGAAGAGAATGTACTTATTTTTAAGTTAGTAGCACACTTAACATATAACCAACCTAAAGTTAGAAAAGCCACTTTTTTGAAGGCACAGTTTGTTTCCAGCTTGACTGTGGAAATAAGAACCTGTCCTATAGACCCTATCTGGTAAGAAGGGTGAGTTCACTGCTCTTGTCTGTGGTAACAAAGCTCACCCACAGCCAACTCCAGCCTGGGCACCTTGGAGCGCTCCATGAGATAGGTATGTCATCTAGTCTAGAGGGTAGAATGTTCTTTTTGATCATAATCATCATGTGCAAAGATTCTGGAGGCTCCATGTTTCCCTTTGTT